TTTTTTAAATTACATTTGTGAAGAAAAATTAAATGGGGGAATACAGATATAAACCTTTAAATCTCATTTTGAGTTTACAAAAATAAACTTAAACATTTTCATTTTATATCTCAGCGTCTTGCATAGGGTATTTCAAACAAGTTTAAACAGTATGTGCTTCAGTTAAAACTTCAAAGTAAGGTGTGAATTGTAAAGAGTAGACAATGGTTCACTTATTTAGTCTGTGTTATAAATTTGATGTATCATGCCAGGTTTGGTTATAATGCCTAGACCTTTGTGGGTGAGAAAAACAAAATTATATAAATGCAAAGCAATCCTTTGAAACCATTTATGTTGGTAAATATATGCCAAAAAAGATAGTATATTTAATACTAATACACAAAGGCATGCATGAGGAGGATTCTAAATGTTTATGACATCACGATCAAAATCTAGCTAAGCAATTGTCCTCAGGGAGACTAAAACAAGTTGCATTGGCTTGTACCTACACCAGTGACAGAACTACATAAATCACAGTAGTGATAATCAGACATGTCTGCCCAGAATTAATAGGATGCACACTTGGATAATCAAAGTCTCAAATAGTTTTATAGTGGGGACATCTGCTGGATGAATATGTCCTAACTGTGGGGCTGCTGATATGAAAAAGTGGAGTTCCCATAGTGCTAAGCAGCAAACCTTAAATTTCTCTATATATGTGAGTATAAAGTAACTTGATATTTAGATATGTGCATGCTTAATATACTGAATGTTACGCACAATAGTTCTTACACAATCAAAATAAAATGTACCAATCCGAAACAAGATTTAATGTGAGAATGAGGGATGAAATTATTTTATCCTACTCTTATAAGACCTTAAGAGTAGAGTAAGATCTATAAGTAAGATAAAATTAACCTTATAAGATAAAATTAGCCTCAAAAAGTGGCTAGAACTGACAAGTTGTGAAGTTGCCTGTGACAGACATTGAACCAACATTACATTTTATTTTATTTTATTTTATTTTATTTTATTTTATTTTATTTTATTTATTTTGCCTGTGGTTTCCCAGATGAATTATGCAATCTGAAGATTTAGGTTAAAAAGAGGATAGCTCCTAAGGGTTCCAGTTAGCTGAGTTGATTAAAGCATTCATTGAAAGCAAAATCACATATTAGAATGATTCCATATTCTCATAGATCAATTGCTATTTGTTCAATGACTGTGAGCCAAAACATGTCACACTTGATTCGTCAGCAGTTCATGTCTTTGTATTTGTAGTACTGTGTGGCTGACACCATGCATCACTGTGTTGACAGACAACTCGAGAGTACCTGTTTCTTGACTTCTTTGGAGACAAAGGCTTGTCAATTATTTAGTGCCTTGGCATCTTGAGTTCTCTGCCAAGAAGAACCCCAATCTAGTTCAAAAGTAGATTGGGGTATTGGTCAGAACTCGTTTCAAATCTCTGTTCCTTTAGTCAAACCTCTGCTGTTTGAGAAAGATAACTTAACCTTGTTGAGTCTCAATTTCTTTTAAAGTAAAAAATAATACCTATATCAAAAGGTTATTATGAGAATTAGCTGAGGTGATGTATACAACATTCATACATTCTTAGCATAGTGCCTGACAGAAGGTGGGCATTCAGCAACTATCCATCGAATAAATATTTTCAGCCACGGATACTCCGTATGAAGAGAAGTGTAAAGAGAATCTCCACAAGAAGTAAATGCCATCGGGTTTGAAGTCTAGATGAATTCATTTTACATAGCTTCCCATCAAGAGACAATCTGGTTCTAATCAAGCCAGACAACAATGAATGGAGAAAAAATCTAGAGCATTTTCTTAGATTTTATGTGCATTTTATTTTAAGGCTGGGTGCGATGGCTCATGCCTGTAATCCCAGCACTTTGGGAGGCCGAAATGGGCGGATCACAAGGTCAGGAGTTTGAGACCAGCCTGCCAGCATGGTGAAACCCCATCTCTACTAAAAATACAAAAATTTGCCAAGCATGGTGGCGCACACCTGTAGTCCCAGCTACTCTGGAGGCTAAAGCAGGAGAATCGCTTGACCCCAGGAGATGGAGGTTGCAGTGAGCTGAGCAGAGATTGCACCTTTGCACTCGAGCCTGGGTGACAGAGCAAGACTTGCTCTCAAAAATAATAATAATAATAAAGTTGTGATTCAGTGGGTGAATCTGAGAGACTGCATTTCCAGCAAACTCCAAAACTTCAGGGAGTCCATATGTTGCTGTCCACCGAATGTATTTTCACAAGGCCCTAGGACATTTGAATGCATGACAAAAAATACTGCACTTAGATCTCTCTTTGTCTAGACCAACATGCTATTTCCTAGAACAACTTAAAATTTATTTAACAAAAAATGATTTAGTGCTTTCCATGTTCCAGGCACTGTTTTATGTTCTGCGTATAAAGTAGCAACCAGGTCAGATGTGGATAACACTCTCATTTAGGCTAGTGGTAAAGTCAGGCAATAAACATGTTAACCAACTGATTAATATAGATTCTAGTGGTAATTAAAAGTACAACAAAAATAAACTGAAGTGACTGGAAGAGTGTGTATGGTCAATGAAGTCTCCTCTAGGAGGGAGAAAATTGAATGCAAACTTGAATGTTGACAAACAGGCTTCTGTGTGAAGACCTGAAATTTTCATACAAAGTGAAGAGAAAGTACAATACTGCTGAGACAACAGTAGGCTTGATTTGTGGAAGAAAGGGAGAAAAGGCATTGTGGCTAGAACATAAAGCTTCAGCCTAAATGTGAGACAGTGATCAGAGCAGTGAAAAGGGACAAGATCATACCTGGAAGAGCTGGGGGTGGTGCAGAAGTCACTCTGAAACCATCAGGGAAATCTCAGAAGTTGGTCGTAGATGGGTTTTAACAGCACCACAGAGGATTAAGGGTGGCGGAAGAAATGATCCTACAGGAAAATACGCCTGGCTGAGCAGAACAAGATGATTGAAAAGGAGCTAAAATAAGATACAGGATACAAATTGCTGGAAGGGGGGGTGGCGGGGGAAGCATAACTTAGAAGAGAAGAAAGGTCAAAATTGCACATTTCTTTGGTTTACATGACGACAAACAAAAATGTATGACTTGTGCCAGGCAAGCTAATCGAATGCACCCTTGTAGCAAACTCTCCATTGCCAGAGAATAAATTATATTTTTCTGAATAGAAAAGATTGGGTAGCTATTAGAGGAGACACAAAACTGCAACATTTGTTAGATATAGACTATGGTCCCAAAGTTTTCTTGCTTTCCACAGAGTATTGGAAACAAAAGTGAGAGAAGTTAGGTGGTACAATGAAAGACAGCAGTGAAGGAAACAAGGTAGAAGGGAGGCCCCCTTGCCCTAAGAGAAAGCCTAGTAAAAAAAGACTCATCATTATCATGTCAAGTGTAAAATATGAAAGGCCTCATACTAGAATGATTTAACTAAGAATGAATAATGTAACATTTACTCAATTGTACTTTTAATGAGGCTCCCTTACTTGTGAGTAAGTCTAATGATTTAAGGCCCTGCCATGTAGTGGCTATTAACAAGTAGGTGTATTCCAATTGACTTCTGATTTTGTCTAATGATCAAAGGCTCTGCAAGCTAGTAGCTATTAACATGTTAGAGCTTTTCCAATTGACTCCTGATTTTCTGTCTTGTTTTTAAAATATATGAATACTTAAAATGATGTTCCTAACTCCCCAAGTGAGAATCAGCTTGGAGTATTTTGTTCAGTAGCCGCTGCAAGAAATGGGAAGGTTAGTCACCCTTTCTCACCAGAATGCCTAATGCAAGGCACATATTTTTTACATATTCATCCAGAATTATGTTTATATTCTGTGGGAAAATAGCAGGTTAATTTTTGTTTGATTGTGTATGCATCTTTTTTGTGTAGCCTGGATAAGATGCTATTCTATGACAATCAACTACCGGAAATCCAGCCATTTAACATTTACTATCTGTTCCATTCCATTGACCTCATTTAGCACTTACATTAATCAACTAAAACAGATTTCAGAGTTTTTATTCTACCCTGTTTTGATTATTCCATTGGTTGTTTTCGGCCTTAGTTAACAGCAACAATATTTTGTTTCTCATTGGCCTTTTATGTATCTCATTTCACTCATTCAGCAAATACCAAATGAATGTCAATTTTTTGGTCAATCTCTGGAGAGTCAAGGGCAAAGTGAGGGAGTGGAGTGAGATGAGACTAGGAAGAGAAACATAGCAAGGTCATTTGCGGTCCTGTAAACTTTTGAAAAATCTGGCCTTTATGTTAGGAGCGCCAGGAAACTAATGAAAAATACTGAGCACTGGAGTGACACCATGTTACTTCTGCCATTTGCTTGTTTGGTCTTGTTTCCCTCCCTCTCCAATTGGGATCACCATAAGCTTTGACTTTATAATGTTGTCCTATCATACATTTCCTGTCTATTTCCAACTAACAATTTCTTATGAAAGAAGGTTGCCAATTGTATGATAATAACTACCCTGAGAGACACAATAGAGTTTGTAAATAGACACCTGTTAGTTGGTTCATGAAAACATAAGATAGATGCTATGGATAGAGTCATTATTTGTAAATCATGACTGATCTCCAATAAAGAAATAAAGAGGGGACATACTTTGTTAATGCTCCTTATTACAACTCAAAAGTATGAGTATAAAATTTAATACTTAATGGTCAGGTATCTGTGGCATAAGAATCATCTCAACATTGTGCATGATCTACCCATGTATGCTCCTGAGAATGAAAGAAGCCTCATTTATGGTCATGAGTGTATGTGTGTGTGTGTATGCTTGTTCCTGGTGTTCTATTAACATCTGGCTATAGTAGGCAATCCCTCTTTTGGCTTTGTATTTTTGTGTGTGTATGTTTTTTGTTTGTTTGTTTTTAAGTAAGACCAAAAGAAAGCTAATGTAACTTATCTGGGTACCCAGATTCAGTTGCTCATTTTACATTGAATTAACAATAATAGTTGTTGATGGTCATGTCTTCCCCAGGAGAAGAAGTTGACAGACTGCTGTGCAGAGATGCCATCTTCCCCATCCCTGTGGCCTGTGATGCCCCATGCCCGAGAGACTGTGTGCTCACCACATGGTCTACGTGGTCCTCCTGCTCTCACACCTGCTCAGGGAAAACCACAGAAGGGAAACAGATACGAGCACGATCTATTCTGGCCTATGCGGGTGAAGAAGGTGAGTCGCCAGCTTCAGACGCCATCTAGGTTCATTTCAAAAGTTAGTATGCATCTTTTTTGTGTAGCCTGGATAAGATGCTATTCCATGACAATCAACTACCAGAAATCCAGCCATTTAACATTTAACATCTGTTGATGTGTAGAGAAATTTGATCCTGTTCCCCAAAACTGATTTCGAAAATGGATCATTAATAAAGGAGGGAAGACTTTTAAAAGTGAACTCATTTTGCTTTTTCCCAGCCTCCCAGTCATTAGAGTTCTTTGTAAGCCAAAGTGTTAAGCCTTTGAATACATCTGAAAATGGTTCTCAAAATTCCAGATGTTTCATTGTTTTTTTCTGAATTTCAAAAGTCGGTTTTATCCTTTGAAATCATATTCTACTTTTTCATAAATAAATACATATGTCCAATAATAAAATTTATTTAAGACCACCACAAGCATATCTACTGTTCGACTGAAAGTTGCAATTTTCAGTTTCTTTCAGTTTCTTGAATACAGGCTCTGAGATCCAGAAATCTCATAAGTAAATCTTGTTCATTTTTAAAATATGTCGCTCCTAAATCACTTCACCCTATAGGGTGAATAAAGCATGTTTGTCACATATTTATACCTCTCTTGCGAGCTTTATTGCCAAGAAATGCAAGGCTCTTGGTAATTGTCTCTCAAGATGATATCCAAATGCTAATTTGGCCTCTGTGTGACTGGGCGATGTAATGTCATACTTAATCTTGTCATTCTGAAAAATAACACAGGAGTGAGAAAAGCATAAAAGTAAATCAAGTTTGTTCACATCAAGGCATGTTCTTAAGAATATAAGTATATGTTATTTAAACATTATCAAGCTAAATGACTCTTTGTTCACATTTAGCACTGGTAGATGATTATTTCTGTTTGTAATAAGCTTAATATTTTATGTTTTCCTCAAATTGATAATTTGGGGGGAGTTCTGTGTTGCCTATACCTTTTTCTTTTTTTCTGTTTATGAAGTATTTTAGTGATAGAAACAGGTTAGTTTTCCTGGCCATATTTGCTGTGTGTGTAATAACTATGCAAACATATAACTACCTCGGTCTTTGCACATGAGTGTTACATGACTAAAACAAACATTTTACATACAACAAAAGCCAAGCTGTGTGAAATTCTAGATTTTATTTATAATGTTCAGAAAATTTTTCTACCATCTTAATATATACTTAACTCTTTGCAAAAAAAGTGTATCTATTGAAAAATAGAACCTTTTACAAAGAAAATTCTGTTTCTTGTGTTGTCATACAATGACTGTAACTTTGTGAAGATTGTATGCAGACTTCAGACTCTATCAGCTCAGATTGTGTCTTGGGCTTCATTAAAATTTGATCTGTGGTCATCCTGCTTCCCGTAAATTCATTATACCCAGAAGACACTTGCTGCGTGACTAGTAATGAGTGACTTTTCACCCCGTAAGTCACATGGCAAGTATTTTGCTATGCTTGCAGAACTCACTAGATCATTATTCCTGAAGACATGTTGCTTCACACTGAAAGGTCATGAAATGTTTTAAAGGCAGAAGTTTGTGATTGCTCTTTGATGTGTATTGTCCACTTAGTTTGAAAGGGTAAGTCTTTGATAATTTTTAATTAAGTTTAGTGGTTGCATTATAAGCAAGTTGTGCTGGAAAGCTATAGATGTTTATATAGTAAATCATAAGGGTATTAATTCAAAACATAATTTTATTTCTTAAAGTTTTGTTTTAATTGATACATAATAATTGTACATATTTATTGGCTACAGTGTGACATAAATTGTATAATAATCGAATCAGGGTAATTAGCATATCCATCACCTCAAACATTATTTCTTTTAGCAAGGGCATTGAGAATCTTCTAGCTATTTTGAAATACATAATACATTATTATAAAACATGTTTTTAAATGGAAGCCATGAAAGAAACTCTGTTAATGCTATTTGTGTCTACTGCTATTTACCTGTTACTAACATTTATAAAAGCTGGTATAATTATACAAAATTTATACTTCAAAGCCTATTTATTTAGTACGTATTATTTGATGGACACTGGAACACATTTTATGAGAAATTTATACTTCAAAGCCTGTTTATTTAGTACCTATTATTTGTTGGACATTGAAACACATTTTTCTTACTCAAAATAAATCTTTTCTAATTCTGAACTTTAATGATTTAGGAACAGTATCTGCAGGAAGTTTTAAAATATGTTTCCCTGTTACTTAGATAACCCTTTATAATTCTATACAAAAGTAGGTCTTTCCATTATTCTTCAAGAATTAGTCCTTCGTGTCATAAATGTTCTTAAATTCCTGTGGATCAGACACTGATAGTAATAACTTTAAAGGAAAGTGTCACATTGGAGAATGATATATGGAGTGTTTAGACAAGAAATTGTATGATTTTCTATGGAAATAACATATAGGATAAGTCCATGTGAAAAATAGATCTGGAATTTATGAAATAAATGCTCCAACCTGTACTTTTGTTTCCCTTAATTGGAATGCCACCATTAAACAATATGGAAGGTTAGATAACTCGTTGTAATTATTAAGAATAGACTAGGTTGTGCTTCAGTAATGGACAGCCCAGACATTCAGGAGCTTTAAAGAACAAAGTTTTATTTACTTGTTCCTCATGGAAACTTAGCTACAATTTGGGTAACTCTACAGGGCAGTTTGTCCTTCAAGAAATGTCACAACGTTGCATCATCATGTGAAGACCTGGTCCCACAATCTTTGTGTGCCAGAGGAAGAAAATACTTGGAGAATCTATCTGTGGATTTTAAAGAATCAGCAATTCTCTCATCTAAGAGTGGTTTATATCATTTCTCTCATTTCATTGTTAATGTAAGTTTTATAACTATGCCTAACTTCAAGGAGAATGAGGAAATATAATCCTATTGTGTGCTAAAAAGAGAGGAGTATTGACTAGTAGTCTTATTCCTGATTTACTCTGTGTTCTTATTGTGTATATATGCATCAATATCTATATCTATATCCATAGATGGATGATAAATAACTAATCCATATGGTCCCAGTTCAGTAGATAAAACAGGGCTCTCCATTGTGAAGATGTTAGGATGAATTATTTTTGTTCCTCTTAAATGAATGACAGAATGATAGAATGATGCTTTCTCTTCCTCATACTGTACTTCATTCTTTTCCTTTTCCTTTCCTTCACTTCCTTTTATTGCTGCGCTCCTTTTCTCCTTTCCTGAACAATTCTATCCAAAAAGCCATTCGGTAAAACCATGCAGTTGGGCATCTGAGGTCTACAGTGATCTAGAGTGGGTTGTCAGAGCCCAGCTGGGTGAGGAGCAACTAACGTGGGAAAAGAGGTGGCTTGGCATGCAGTTTCAGAGCCACTGAGCAGGGTGAAGGACAGGGGCACCTGCATTGTGTGAGAGAATAGAAGAGTGACTCAACACTGGAGGTCAGAGCATAGTAGGGCTAAGAGAGAATCTCAGCTTCAAGGCAGCCAGCCCAGTATGGGGTGTCACAGCCAGACACAGTTGAGGAGGGTTTCTATCTTATGGGTGGCCTCGTGCGGGATGTCAGATCTTGAGCAGAGTGATGAAGATGTATTGTGGGTATAGCAATGGAGATGACAATGGGAGATGGAGTGTGGAGTGAGAGGAAATTGGCAAAATAAGTACATGTATTTAACATCATAGGAGTCAGGTATTTTTTATTTCTGGAGAAGAGAGTTGCAAATATGTTAGGAAAGAAAACTAGTACACTCTGTGGTACAGTGCTGGAATTGGATGTTCTTAATTTATTAATGTAAACTTGTGTTCAGTTTGTAAAGATAGAGTAAATATCAATGAAAGTATACAAATGTAGGTATGTACATATTGTATACATTTATACATGTATTAGCCTCATTCACTGAAAAGACCTGAAAGCAGCAAGACCCCAACAGCAGTAAGTATATGCAGCAGTCAGATTTTGGTTTCTAATACCATTCTCTAACAAAGGAACAAAGGCTCCTTTGAGAAATGGCTGATTCCACAGCTGGGATAGAAGAAGAAGTACAAGACAGGCCAGGAGGATCTTGTGGTAGAAAGTAGAGAATCGTCAAAAGGCCACAGAAGCCAACTTAAATGTTCTCCCACTGACCATGTACATCAACAATTTTAATAACAAAATAATAATACCAACAGACCATCGAATAGGAAATCGTGGATCCACACTTTATGTTATAAATAAAGGAATAAATCGAATCCAAGAAAAGCATTATATTTACATAGTCTCAAATATTCCCTAATAGAGAAGTCTGACAGACATCTCTAATCTAGTGACCAAAGTTAGCATTATTGATAACGAAGCAAATCGAAATCTTGTGTCCCCAGTGTGATATATAATGAGAATATGACATCACTTCTGCAATAACCCTATCAAATATGCATATATAGAATCTAATCATGAGGGAACATCAGATAAACTCTAATTCAAAGATATTGTACAGAATAATCTTTAATCTTCCAGAGTGTCTAAACATGAAAATGAAGGAACGATTGAATAACTGTTCGAGATTTAAGGAGACTAACAAAGTGTGACATCTAAATGTAAAGCTTGATTCTGAACTATAAAGGACATCTTGGGACAGTTGACAAACTTAAATGGGATCTGAGGAGTTAATGGTAATAACTTATCAGTGTTTGTATTCTGATTTTCAGATTTTGAATACTGAATTGCTTATGTGTAGGAGAATGCTCTTGATTGTGGGAAACACATACTAACATATTTAGGGTGATGGACATTATTTCACCTTTTTCCAAATGGTCCAGGAAAAGAAAGTTATTTATATCATACTTTTAATTTCACTGTAAGTTTGAGATTGGTTTAAAATTAAATATGAAAACAAAACAAATTTGTATATAATTGCTTTCTACACAGTCTTTCTTTTTTTGAGATGGGGTCTCACTGTGTTGCCCAGGCTGGAGTGCAGTGGCCCTGTCTTGGCTAACTGCAGCTTCTACCTCCCAGACCC